CTCTCCAGCGCATCGCCGGCCCTGTCTCTCTCCAGCTCAACGCCGGCCCTGTCTCTCTTCCCTTGGTCCACTGGCCCACAACTTAGATATAAATTTTTATTGGGATCACATCAATCATGCCAAGGAGCTTGGAACCATCCTTCCAAATCCCTCTGGTAATATGCACCTGCCGGGTGTTGTCAGCTCCTGCGTCTTTGACTGGGCTACAATCCCCTCGTGGAAAATATACCCTGACACTTCGCCATCATCCCCACAACACTCAGCACACCACAGAGACCGGGCCAGTGATGCCCAATCTGACTGTCATTCTACTTACAAAGCAAAGGACCAGGGGACAGATGGGACTGTCTTTGGGAACTCACCGGCTGTTGCATGAACCAGAACAAAGCCAGGTCTCCTGACGCCCAGAAAAGTGCTAGTGCACGGCCCCCTAGAAACGTTGTGAAAATATTTTGCTTGCTGTGAAAATATGCACTGCTGGAGAAGAGGAGCAGAACTTCTTGTGGAGCCATCAGCCCAGATCACTAGGAATCAGGGCTGCGGGTGAGACACCCAGCCCGGCCACCGGAAAGGGAATCTGGCTGAGTGGAGGAGGGGAATCCACACAGATTACCGTGGCCCAACTGCGGCAATAACATCCACAAAACAGAAAAACACCCGACGGGAAAGCCGAAGCCTGGCCAGCAAATTCAACACAGGGCCACAATCCTCACAGCGCACGTCATCACAACACAGAGCTTTCAGTCAGCGTGTGAACACTTTAGGTATAAATGTAAAATTTTCATGTTTTTCGAACAAGGTGGCCGTGTGTGTGCGTGCGTGTGTGTGTGTGTGTGTGAAGTGCTGCTTTCTATCACTGAATGGAACCTGTGTTTTCAGTAAACAGGTCCCAAACAAACGTTTAGCAGACGTTAAAAATTACATTTCTGAGGCGATTGAGTTCTTATCAGAACATACAAATATCCAGCTCCAAGAACTAGAAACAAGCCATGTGCAAAAGACTTTTTGTATTTTGTTTCATATCATTGAGTGAAACCTGTGGGTTTTTTATTCTTTTAATTTTTAAGTTCTGGGGTACATGTGCAGGCTTGTTGCATAGGTAAACACGTGCCTTGGTGGTCTGCTGCACCTACCAACCCATCACCTAGCTATTGAGCTCAGCATGCATTAGTTATTTTTCCTAATGCTCTCCTTCCCCTCACGCCACCCCCAACAGGCCCCAGTGTGTGCTGTTCCCCTCCCTGTGTCCATGTGTTCCCATTATTCAGCTCTCACTTATACGTAAGAACACGTGGTGTTTGGTTTCTGTTTCTGCCTTAGTTTGCTGACGATAATGGCTCCCAGCTCCACCCACGTCCCTGCAAGAACAGGACCTTGTTCCTTTTTATGACGGTATAGTATTCCATGGTGTATACATACCACGTTTTCTTTATCCAGTCTATCATAGATGGGCATTTGAGTTGATTCTCTGTCTTTGCTATTATGAATAATTCTGCAATGAACACACACATGCAGGCATCTTTGTAACATAATGACTCACATTCCTTTGGGTATATACCCAGTAATGGGACTGCTGGGTCAAATGGTATTTCTGGTTCTAGATCTTCAAGGAATTGCCACACAGTCTTCCATATTC